CCAAGTAAAGCACTTCCTTTGAAGCATTCATGAACAGTACGAATACAAGAGTTTCCCTACCGTCTAAATGATTCTGCGACTATCAAATATAGTACAAAGCGAAAGAGTATGTGCTATAAAAAAGCAGCTCTTTTAAATTATAGTAAAAATGTGTGTTGTTCTTTTGACAGTGACAGGGCATGGGGGGGACTGAGGACAACGACGCGGTTTTAGCTGCAGTGACTTTGGGCTAGGACAGCCGGACAGGGACATGAGTTCCTTTGCAGGGCTCTTTCACATTGTTGTCTGGAAACACAGACGGACCTTGACTGCGCTCTGCCCCATGCAAGAGGCTTGGGGGGGATTCTCACGGGGCGGCTGACTTGGTGCAAGGCTGGGAGATGATGCAGCCCTTCAGCTCGGACTCAAGCTTTTCGGGCCTCACCATCCACTGGAAGAACTGGGAAACCCCAGGCCACAGGGACTTCCTCTTTTGGAATTGTGCAAGAGTGTTTGTTGAGAAAACGGGGGGCTGCAGCATTATGCGATTCTTACTGCAGTAGAAAGCACCGTGCGGACCAGTTGCTTCGGTTCGTTTCTTTTGTACCGCGTGAGGGGCAACTCCGTTATCCTCTGTAGCTCCGCCCAGAAACCACCGCCACCAAGTCTTTACAGGAACAAGGCTGAACACGTCATAGTTTTTCAAGGTTTTTAGTTTGTTTACTAGAACTGAGACCTCCCCAAAACCAAATCAAACTCACGGCCATTGAGTCAATGCTGACTCGCACGTGGCCCTTTAGGGCAGAGTGGGACGGCCCCTTGGGTTTTCAGAGGCTGTAAAAGTTTATGGGAGCAGTAAGTCTCACCTTTCTCCTGTGGAACAGCAAGTGGGCCCAACATGTAATAATTACTTATCACTACGTGCTCAGTTCACCAACATTTCTGCTATTCTCACTTTGGGGAAGGAAACATTTTCCATTTGAAAATGAATTTGCATCAGAATTGTTTCTTATTAGCATGCCCATCATGAACTACCAAATGTCTTTGTACACCTCAGGCATATGCATATCACAGAGGAGGGGGTGAGGAATAGCAGTCTTCTTCCATCCCCTGCTCCCAAAGTGCTATGTAGAAAAATACATCCTTTGAGACTCAAAACAAAACAAAACAAAACAAAAGAGGGTGGGGGGAAGGTGGAGGGGACAAAAACATGTTACATGTGCAAGTCCTATACCTGATAGGGCTATCATAATGTCTAATAACCAGGACAATGCACACGCTAAAATTTGCACATTATACCACAATAACCATGTAGCAAATAACATACTCCATTTGCACATAAGCAGACATTTGTGGAAACTAGGAATTTACTAGTCTAATTCAAATATACTGGCTGTGTGTATATACTATGCAGATATCTGACTCATGTTTTACTTCTCAATTTGTTCTTATTTTATGATTTTGGTTTTTTATTTAGCCCCAAAGTAAGAAAGCATTGTTTCAAAAAAATAGAGACCACACAAGGTCATTAAGAACCTGAACTGAGCCAAAAACAAAACCAAAACAACCACAGGCACAGAACAAGGTTGTTTGTATTATAGTGCTCTCTTCATTCTTAGGTGGTCGAATTCATTTGCTACCACCAGTTGGTTCTCCAAGTCTATTGTGTGAAAAAGCAAAACACAGAGGACACTTTCCTTAATCTCCAGTGAGCAATGTGCAGGCAGCACTGGACAATCGCACAGCAGACACTAAGCTCAGGGTCAGACCAGCCTCAGTGGTGCCTCACGGGCAGTGTCACAGCTTTGTAGACTGCAGTCTGTCTCATCACTGTGTCAGCGACCCTGGGGTCTTTTTCAGTCTGCTGGTAAAGATAGCATCTGACATTGTATCGTGGTGACGGCATTGGAAAATTGGCATGCGTATGTCTACGTTTTAGGGACGCTGCACTGTCAGACTAGAGATGCTCTTTTGAAACAGGACATCGTCACAGCCATGCCAACCACAAAGACGCTGGCCAAGAAGATGCCTCTTAAGTACAGGTTGGCACAGAGAAAGCGTTCAGGGAGGACCTGCTGGAGTGTATTCTCAATTCCATAGCCAGGACTGGTTAAGTGCATTGCAAATTGTCTTAGTGGTAAATTTCTTTTTATTAATGTCAATCTAGAAAACAGAATTGGCAGTTCTAGAGCACCGAACTGGACCACTGAGGCCAGCCTTTCTCATTTTTCTTTTGTTTAAGTACCTGTCAATATCAGCAATTTGTTAATAAAAATGATGTCTTCAACACCTAAAATAATTTGGCAACATCACAGTAATAAATATGGAGAAAAACACATATCACAATTTTATATATATATATAAAAAAATCACGAGTCCCCCACCCCCATACCCAGGAATGTAGTTCTGCTCATTCCAGTTAATCCTTAAGACGTATCGTTAAGGGAATGTTGAAAAGGTCCGTTATCGAGATGATCCCAGGTGGAACGTACTGGTCATTCTTACCCTGGATACAAGTGATTTCCCCCATGCTTTTGCTCCTCTTCCACAGCCACAATCGACCAAGGGCCAGGGTGGGCCACACTTTGTGCTCTGTAATCTGCAGTGAAAAGGGCATGGTTTTTGTTCGACGCTCTTCTTCCCACAGTGCGCATGTGCTTTTGAACGTGCTTTAGGGAACAGAGCTTCCTGAACGATGGCGGCGGTGCTCCAATGTGATGGTGGCCAAAGGAAATGGAAAGTCGCTAAATTCTCAACACGCAGACGTTACTGGTAAACTGACAGCTCGAAGATGCAGTATCCCTTTTCCAAACGCAGTTCCGCTCCCCTCCAAATATGAACAATGCAATGACTGGACTCGTGGCAAAATAAAATAAAATAAGGGTGACTTCAGAGCCAAATCCATTTAGAGAGGCTGTACCTCATGAGGGGGAAATAGGTGGAGAAGAAGGTCAACATGTTAGCCTTCTGTCGTCCCATTCATCGTGAGTGACACTGGGAGAGAAGTGGCCAACCTCTCTGCAAACCGGCATCATCAATAAAAGCTATGATTCCCCAACCCCGATTTCCACATCCAGTAAGTATATCAGAATGAACAAAATGGCCCAATATTTACATTCTCAATCTACTTATAGCTTTTTTGTACATATGCTATTGTATGTTTCCTTTTTCATTTTAGGCATTTCTTTTTCACACTTGCTCTTAAGGGAAAAAAACAACATAAAAACACCAATGGGCCTATGACCCTCCACTGGCCAAGGGTCTTACATGACCAGATGACTAAGGGCTAGTGTCAGATGACTAAACTTGAGGCCCACATTGTGATCTGGAGTATAATAAGATGCATTTCACTACACTGCATTTGTAAAAACCAGAGGGCACCTGGATAGTCTGCCATGGTCTTTAAAAGCAAAGTGGGGAGAAGCAGCCTGGCAGGGGGTCTCACTACTAGCACGCCGCCTTTACTGTACCATCTGTGATATGCATGAACACTCACAATAATTCTCATCGATGTAATTCAGATTCCCCTCTGCAATCATCATGGGAAAGGGATGTCCGGAAGAGTCCAGGGTGAAAATTCTTGGGGCAATGGCTAAACCACAGAATGCAGAATCCTCATTCCCTTTCTGCCTCTGCATTTCTGGTGATTATAAAAGAATTAAAAATGCTCTCTCCCTTGCTACAACCACCAGCCAAGGGCCATGGAGGCCCCTCTGGCTGGACTCGTACCTGTAATTTTTTGATTAGCAGCCAAGAGCATTAGTCCACCCAAGGACTGCTACCTATACCTAGGCAATTGAAAAAAAAAGGCTGGGGGCAGGGAGCTGTCTACCCCTGGATAGAAACTTTCCTAAGCTGAGGGAACGGCAACTACACGTGTCAATGTCATGCTGCCGAGCTGTTTGGTTGGGGATGGCCCCGCCCACCCCAACACAGAATGCATGGAAATCATAACCCCACGGATCGAAGATCACGATCAAGCGCTCCAAAGGAAAGGGCATTTGCAGGATCTGAACACACCAGGCTACTCCAGGGGTTGTGGCTGGCTTTGCCCTGCTCCCGCTCCAAAGGGATACTGCATCTTTCGCTTCGCTCTTATCGTACCACCAGGCAAGCGACACAGAGCTTCGAAGGCCCTATGCAGTCGTCGTGGCAGAAGGCCCCACAGCCTTTGCACACGATCATGGCTTTCAGCCGGCAAGAGCACTTCAGTTCCAACTCGTCCGCGTTGCTGCTGTCGGCAAAGTTCTGCACGGGCGGCGGGGCATTCTGCCCAGGCAGGCCTGCCGCGGGGCTGGAGCCGCTGCCCAAAATCCCGATGGACTTTTCAATGGCTGATGCTGCCCTTTTGAAGCTCGAGCTACCAAAGTGGATTGTGGGGTAACTTCCACAGAGTTGTGGCTGTGGCTGCACCTGCATCTTCTGAGCAGCTAACTGGGGGAAAGGCTTTTGTGGCTCAGAAAGCAAATAGGAAGAGAAATCCGTGTTTTTCAGGGCGAATGCTTTTAGCTGTTCTTTCATTTCATTCTGGTCATAGGAAACTTGCTTCATGCCCAGTTCGCAGCTGCTGCTTAAGCCTTCCTCAAAAGAAAGAGGTTCCGATTTGATATTGCTACATATGCCCGCAGACTGTGGCCAACTGAGTCGCTTTGTGGTTTCCATGGTAACCGGTGGCTGTTTCTGCTCGGACAGGCCTTCTGCATTAGGAAGAGGTGGAGGTAGTGGAGGTGGTGGGGGGGGTGGCGGTGGCGGTGGTGGTGGCGAGGGTGGTGGTAGTGTGGGAGGAGGGGGTGGGGGTGGAGGTGGAGGAAGCACTAAGGCTTTGCTCGGCATGGGGTGGGCAGTGCCCCCCACATCATCACCTTCTTTGATGGGGAGATTGGGGGATAGCATGTTGCCTAACCTTAGCTGGTGAGGCACTGAAGACACACCAACCTCTCCCAGGCCCTTCTGGTCCAGATGCCTGTTGAAAGCAAAGGCAGCGCAGCCGCCTGGGGTCTTTGGGGAGGCCTGTAACAGCGCTGCTGGAGGCAGGGGGCCCCTGGGCACCATGGGCATTTGGTAAAACTGCTGTCTGTGTGCGGCAGCAGCGTCGGCATGGAAGCTGCCGTTCTTGTCCACCTGGAACAGGTTCTGCTGGAAGCTGCAAGGGGGGAGCAGCCGCTTCTGCTGCTTGACCTCGGGGCTCTGGGCCAGCCGGTTCTGCATGGCGTGCTTGCTCGGCCACTCTTGCTTGAAGGGCTGGCTAGGCCCCAGCTGGCTCATGCCCGGGCTGATGACACAGGGCACCCCTTTGACATCTGGCTCCACCAACAGTTTCCCTGGTTCACATTTGACTTGGGTGTGTTCCCCGACGGTCCTGGCCACTCTCTTTTTGGGGTGGTTCTCACGCTTTCTCATCTGGAGTGGCGCCAAGGTCCCTGCCAAGTAGCCCTTACCATCTGGGTTGGGCGAGCTGGATGGCATTTCGACAACACCCCTCTCTGGTGCCGCTTTGCCCACTGAGGTAGTTGGAAGAGGCAGGGGGAGCCTGTTAATTTCCAGCTTGGCTCCCAGTCTGGGCTGAGGCAACACTTTTTCCAAAGGCAGGTTGCCCTGCAATAGCTGGGTCACCAGCGGATTGTTGGCCTCCACAGATGACAGGCGGCAGTTGGAGCTCCCTGTGCCAGGAGCCCTTTTGAGGGTGTCTGTAGCCAGGGAGATGGCCTCTTCCATGGGGCTGGAGCTGGAAGCCTTCACGTTCTGCCTCTGTTGGACACTGGAGGTCACCTCTGTCGCCGGAGGTGGCAGCTCGGGCCCAGAGAAGTCTTCTGTGTCCATTCTAAAGCTCTTAGCCACATCATGAGGCTCGGATTTCACAGGGAGGGGGGCGTTTGTTATCAGATTCCTGGGGTGAAGCTCTGCCACGTGGGAGTAGCTAGCGTGTTCGGTTTTGATCGCCTTTGGACAGCTCGGTTCGAGATAGTCTTTCGGTTTAATCGAAGCGGAGTGGCTCACCAGCGGCTGCGCTGCGCTGCGCACTCCGTCCTCGTTCCAGCAAATCCGGCTGCCTGGGCTGTACTGCTTGCTGCAGGTTGTGTCTGCTTCGCTTTGGAAAGTAGCCGGGCCATGTCCGTGTGCCTGCTCAGCAAAGCTGTGACCGGGGGCAGGAGCCTCATTCAAGTTGCCTGGCACAAGGGGTAACTCTCGGCCACTTGCGCAGGGGGCCTGCAAGGTTTTACAGTCCTGTTTCGCTGAGGAAGCGGCGATGAAGCTGGAACTGTGGTCAATGCTTTCACTTGCAACTGGCTCTGGTCTGCTGATGACCGACACCTGGGGACATGCCACGGCTTGGACGGGTGCGTCTGTCCTCGCCGGCCTGCTCTGGAGGTCCAGGCTGGCTTCGGCACTTTCAATGGAGACGGTCAGAGACAAACTGGAGGTCATGGTGGTGCTGTGGTCCACAATGACTTTACAAGGAATGGATCGGTTGGCAGCTGCTGGTGCAAAGCCCCCTGGTGGTTGCTGAGGTTTTGCAGAATTATCGGCTCTGGCTCGAGGCCCTGTATTTTTCTCCAAGCCTTCAACATTTAACTTGGAAGGAGGATCGTATGAGTTTATGGTGAACATGCTTCCAGTAAACATCGCGATGGGTGGGCATGCAACCAGAGAGTCTGTGACTGCTACGGAATCACTGCAGCCGAGGGCCGCTCTCACAGTGGTACCCATGGATACGGTGGCCTGATCTTCACTCCCAGGCATGGCTATCTTCTCAGAAGGAACCCGGTTGTTAATTCCTGTTGGAGGAATCAAGACCGAGCTAGTGGAGAGATGGTTTGGCAACTTATTTCCAACAGGGGGAGTTGGCACTGAGGTGTGTGGACCAGAGACTAAGTTAGTAGCCTTGCTGCTCGGTGGTATCAGCAATTGCTTATCCTCCAGGGAACTGGACAGGCTCGCGCTCTCTGTCGTGGCTGCAATGGGAGTGTTTTCGATACATTTGGGTATAATGGCTATGCATGGAGTGTCAGCTGCCTGGATGGTTTTTAACATGCTTATATTACAAGCAGAGATGGTTGTGTTTGCACTGTCGACAGACATGAGGACAGAGGATTTGTCCACAGAACCCACGTAGGGATGCTCCTTAATTGCTCCTGACATAGCAGTGCTGCAGACAGACATGGGGATAGTGTTTTTATTAAAAAGCATGGGCACACTGCTATTTTCCGAAGAGGTAGATGAAACAATTTTCTCAGATAAATGTGACACAGGTATGTTTTCATCAGAACTATGCACAGATAAGTCAGTGGCAGTTTCTGGAACTTTCGGTGGGTTGAGCGTCTGCGGTACTACAGTGGCGGTCTCCCGGAGGTGTACCGGCTTGTTGCTCGGAGACCTGCAGTTCGGATTAACAATGATGACGCCGGTTGAACCTTCCATTTTTGTCTCCGGGACAGAACAGACCTCTAAGTCTGGAGTCCCTTCCTTGGAGTTAAGCTGAGGCAGCCAAGCCTCTTTAGTGGTCTGGAAGAGGTGGGCTCGGGCTTGATGCTTGGCAAAGAGCTTGGCCTTCGTTTGCTCTTTGATATGTGCCAGTGTTCTCGCCTTGCCACCTTCTCCTGGGCTCCCCATAGCTCCGGAAACAATGCTGGCAGCAGCAGCGACGGCAGCCGCAGCGGCAGCTTCTCGCTGGGCCCTTGCTTGTTGGGCACGGGCCTTGATGTCTGCAAGGGTCCTGGCGCCTGTGTTTCTCCCACCGCTACCGGCTGTGCCAGAGGAAGCTCGAGACTCTGGCTTTGCGATGGGTTGGCTCTTGATGATAAACGGGGGTCCAATTTTTGAAAGCTGGATCTAATGGAAGGGGAGAGAGGAAAGATGAAGCATTGTGATATATCACCACAAAGGAGGGGCATAGCATATGATACAAGGGAAAGGGCTGGTGGCATTCACTAACAGTGCCCGGAGGTGGTGGCAGTGCTACCTAAATCCTCAAAGGCCCTTTCAGTGTACAGAGCCCCAATAACTGAAGCCTGAGTGTGGAGATGAAGTTTCTCATCTATTAAAAAACATCACCCAGTTACTTCATTTGGCAGGGAAATTTAGAATCCTCTTGATGCCTTCTATCAAAGGAAACATTGTTGTTGTTTTTTTAAGGATCCTAGTTAAAAAGACTTAGGGAGCCTTGGGCTTTGAAATGATCATTACTGTTGATTTCAAACACTGGGGGCTTTAAGTGGACTTGGAGTTTTACACCTCTCTTTTGGGCCCTAAGAAAAAAGCCATGGCCACCCGGTCCAGAAGCTACAATTCGTATGCTGGTTGTGGCCCAAAGGAGCTTTGTGATCCTGCTCAATTCACGGTCTCCCTGTCTCCTCGGATAACAGTTGGAATCCAGGGACGCAGGCCTTTTATGTATTCTCACAGATTCACACACCTGCCTTACCTGCTTCTACTAAGTACACATGCAAGTGTGTAAACCCCATTGTAAAATAAGACTAGTTCTTTCTGGTCTGTTTCCTTCACAGAGCTGTTACGAAGATGAAATGAGACTGTATTTGTGAGAATCCTCTGCTTTCCAAAAGCATTTGATTAATGGGAAGTTTTCATAAAAGCAAGGCTACCCATGCCCAGTTTCTTTTGGTCACAGAACCCGCAGTGTGCTGAATTCAGAAAGTGACCCCATCCACATGGTTTACCGACCTGTGCAAATTAAGAGACCCCCTCCCCCCTCCCAGGGTCATGCTCATGAAACTCATGACCATCATAACAATGCAAGTCAAGCCCTATCTCAGCACCCAGGAGCTCCGCCACTAAGAGTGCTTGAGAGCCACGTTCTGTAGAGGTGGAAGGCGTCTGCTTAGAGCGCCACAGGTTATAGCAACAACAACCACATATAAAGTTGTCCTGCCCACGGCCACACCTCAACTCAGTGCTGTTTACCTGGATGTTCCTTCCCCCTCTAGGAAAAGCTTTCAGTACAGAGCCTAGGTCTCACCTTTACCATGGGCCTATTTAGCTTATTGTAACTGCCTGCCAAACACAGGATCATATGAATCCAGACCTATACTGAGAGGTTCTGATTCATGTACGGAGCTGGTCCCATTATCAAACTGCTTAGGCAGTCTCTCTTCTCATCCAAAGTCTTCTGAGAAAAGATGAATTTAGCAGGGGGGTGGGGATTCCATTTTCCCTGTAAATGTTGCCCTTAATTTAAAACAGCAAAGCAATGCAAAGATTAAAACTAGTTATCCTTAAGGAAGAGCTTAAACGCCTAGCAGACATCAAATATGCTTACGGTCTCTGTTTCTCCATCAATTTCATCTATCTGTCATCTAACTTCAAATAAGGAATATACTACGTTGAAAATATGGTTTTTATTACCCCATCCATCTAATACTCAGGCTGGTGCATTTAAACACATTTCTTATTAAAACTTATTTATTTTTGTTTACCCTTGCTTGAAAATAGCTTTTTTTTAAATGGAAGCTTAATTAATGTCCATCTTTTAAATCTTTACTTAAAAAGAGTGTTTTATAAGTGGAATAACTATGGTCATGTTCTCAAAAGTCAATCTTGCAGTGATCGCATCTCCTACCTAAAAAAGGGTAGAATTCAGAGCACAGCAAAATTGAGAGAGCAATGAAGGAAGAAAAAAAAAACTTGAATATTTTCAGGTTCCTAGTTCAATCCTAGGAGGTATCCATATTCACTCTAGAACAAAATTAATACATTCAGGCCCAATTAGGTAAACATAGGATGTTTTAAAACACTTAACATATTATTTTGAAATAACTTTGCTTTTTAATTTACTGAGGTTGAGTCAAATTTGCAGAATTTGTTTTCTGAGCAGCAAAATCTGATTCAAAATGAATTTATAAAAATAGAATAGCTTAGTACAGGAATTTACTATTTTTGTGAAGTTAAAGACCTCTTTAGTATCTTGAAAATACAATGATAGTATTTATCTACTTATAGCTCTATAGCATTGTCTCTCAACATTTGCAAAGCAATTTCAGGTGTTTATTCAATAATTATTGATGCCCTCTTTTAAGCCAGTTCCCTTATGTTAGTGGTTATTGTATACTGCTTATTATATCAAGTTTATTAGATAATGAATGAATGATATGTATCTTCACCTGTTCAGGATGTGCTTCTGACTTCTGACTATCTCTCTATTCCTGCCAAACTTTTATAAGTCACTACATTGTTTTTCTAATTTTCCTCAACTAGGCAGGTCTCCCTTCTAAACCTTGGGATCCCCAGTGTCTCAATGTGTTGAGACACTGTTCTCCTCTCCCCAAATGTTTGTCCTTGATGCTCAAACATGCATGTGTCGCTGATCTTCCATGTCCACTCACAACACAGTCTTAAAAAGGACCCTGGGTAGTGGAAGGGTTAGAGTGTAAACTGCTACACGCATCTGGGAGAAAATCTACTTTCTTATAGTATTGAAACTATAAGCACCTAATCACATCCAAAAGTCTGCATTACGTAGGAAAAGCCTTTCAGTCAAAATTCCACTTTTCTTAAGGTCGTACCTTGAGAGGTGGTACCCGGGGTTCCTCTCTGGGAGGCTGTTCTTTCTCAGGTGGACTGCTGGAGGATATATTACGGGTTGACTGATCATCTTCGATCCTAGGCCTCTTTTCCTTACAGATCCCAAAACTGTGCTGTTCTGCAGTTTTCCTCTTTGATATTTCCGAGTCTCTCTCATTCCGTATGCCGTCGGGTGACATGGAGGGCTCTGAGGACTTGGTGGTGTGGGAGGACTCTGGTCGAGTCTGTGTGCTCCCTTGCTTATGTGTTCGATTCCTAGGGCCTTCTGCAAATGGCACTTTATCTACTGGTGGAGGATATTGCTTGTCTTGTAACTTGGTTGAGGGTGGTGGCTCACTTCCTTTATGCTCTGCCTCTTCCGGAAACACGGACATCTCCAATGCCGAGGACACACCTTTCTTTTCCGTTCTTTGTAGGACACTATGATTTTTGCCTTTCATCATTTCTGGAGAAGGAAGCTCTGGAACAGGAGGGCAGGCATTCTCAGGTTCAGCATGTGACGTACACAGCTGCTGATTCAAGGCGTTATTGTGCGATTCTTCTAGAGGAAATGCATCCGGAGAAATGGAAGGAGGACCCACTGTGATTGGCTCTGGATTATTTGGCAGAGTCTTCTGCTGAGAAAGAAGGCTCTCTGCAAGTGGCTTGACTGGGCTGGCTGCGTCCTCTTTCCGTGAGGAGAGTGGTTCTTCAGAGAAGGAGGGCGGCTTTCCTTGTTGATGCTCCAATCGCTCGCTCAGAGAAGAATTAGATGTTGGAGAGGTTTCTGAAGGAAGGGGCAAGCTGGATACAAACGGGGTCTCAGCTGTGAGAAGCATGGAAGACAGTGAAGATGTCTCTGATGTCAAAGGGATGTTTGATACCGGGGACGCTTCTGATGTTAAAGGCAAGTTTGACATAAGAGATGCTTCTGATATTTCCGGTGAAGTGGATACTGGAGATATTTCTGACATCAAAGGTGCATGGAGGTTTTCATCAGTGGGCTTTCTCTGATTATACGTGTCCGTGTTTTCTGTGCTGGACACCTCTGAGCAAAATGCTGTCTCCAGGGAGGCTGGAGTACACGACTCCTCAGAAGTAGACTGTGTTTCCCCCCCTGGAGATGTCAGGCTGGGACACACTCCTTCTGGGCTCTCAGAAGAGTAGGACGTTTCGGATATGCAAGCATTTCCAGAAAGCTGTTCATCGGGGTCACTCTGTAGCTCCATGTCTACACCAATTCCTTCATTTGGAAACTGGCCTCGCAAAGGTGACCTTGTTTCTGTTTGTGGAGCGGTGGTCTCTACTGCAGTTTCTGACTCCTTCTGCTCCAGGTCCCTGACTTGAGTCACAGATGCAGTGGAAGGGAAGATAGAGTCACAGACTTCTACTTGGTCAATAACAACGGACATTTCTTCCTGGAGAGATTCTGATTTGTCTTCCACCTTAATTTCAATCTGAGGAAACGTTTCCAGAATGTCATTCATCATAACACAGGATTCCAAGTTTTCTTCAGCAGGGGAGATTTGGGGCTCTTCCTGGGGGTTGTTGGTACTCTCTGACTCCTCCGAAAATTCAGGAATTGTTTTATGATTCTCATCCTGACATTCGCATATACTTGTCTCTACCTCTTCTGCAATTTCCTCCTGGATCACAGATTCTTCGGGGATCAATATATCCTCTGACTCAGATTCAGCCATTACATCTTTAGCTGGAATTTCCACCACAGGACAAAGTGTTGCACAGAAATCAGGCTCTGGGGAAGCTGCGCTTTTCACGCTTTGGGGCTGTTGCTCTTCCAATTGCGTCTGCGTAGAAGAACCCGGAAGACTAGAGGTCCCACACGAGGAACTGCTTTCAGCTCCATCGCTGTTGGGCCCGGCAGTGAGCTTCACAGAGTCCTCTTTTGACATGCCCAACCTAAACAAAATAAGAGATACTCAGTTATTGCTTAATCAAACAAGTCAGGAACAGAACAAATGTTTCTCTTATAATAATAATAGTCTTCAATAGAAGTGACTATCACATCCCTTATTATAATCACAGTAATCATTATACAGAGAGGGAGTGGAAGAGAGAGAGGGAGAGGGAGAGAGAGAATGTTTAGGGATTGGATAGAGACCAATGAAGTCCCAGAGATGGCCCTTAGTCCCCCATATATCAGGTTTCTAAGACTGCATACACATCTTTTCAGGAGCAGACTGCCCCATCTTTCTCCCGTGGAGCAGCTGGTGAGTTTGAACTGCTGACCTAAAACTTAACAGTTCAAAGCTTGCCTGACAGCACCACCTGGAGAACTGATTGAAGGCAGCATAAGGCTCACAAAACAACATGCTGCATTAGCATATATGTGGGTGAGTTCTACGTTTTATAGATACATAACACACACACTCACACGCATGCACAGTGAGAGAACAGTACCACAACCTAAGCGGAGTTAAATTTAAAGCGGTGAAAAGGCATCTCGTGTCATTTGTTAAATTAAGTTGTTTGGCACTAAGGAAAACACCTCACGCATCAGGGGAATGGAATGCAGTTAATCTGGAAGTAACAGAATCTAAAGGGGCAGTGGATAAAGTGTCCAAAATTCATTTTCCACCCAACATTTAGTCAGAGATAGAAAAGGACAAGAAGGAAGTCTACTGATGTAAGAAATACACTATAGTAAGAAGAGACAGTATATCTTTTTAAAAATATATAATTCAGAGCATGGGGACAGTGACAGGATAGGGAGCCATGTTTACTCCTAGGTTACTACAAAGCAGGGGCCCTTCACCTGACAGCCACTGAACCCCCAAGTTTCCTGTTTAACTTTGTTGTTGTTTGGGTGAAAGTTTACAGATCAAGATTCCAATTCAATAACCCACACATTTTCTTCCACGCGACTGACTACAGCCTCCACAATGTTCCCTTTCAGTCTTTCCTGTCCCTTCCTACCCTCCGAACTTTCTTCACCTTTGGGCAAATGTTTGCATCTCAAATGGCTGACTGTTTTAAGTGGTATATACTCCTCCCTGGTGTTATTGCTCACTTGTAGACTTGTTTAACTGAATGCTGACCCAAGGTTGTGAGTTCAGTTCCAGGCTTGATTGGCGACTAAGGGCCATCTCTGGGACTTCATTGGTCTCCATCCGATCCTTAAACATTCTCTCTCTCTCATCCTCCCTCCCTCCCTCTTTTCCACTCCCTCTATATATAATGATTTTGACTTCTGGTCCACATTTTTCTTCCACTTTTTCTTTTTTTAACATTTTATTAGGGGCTCATACAACTGTTATCCCAATCCATACACACACCAATTGTGTAAAGCGCATTTGTACATCGTTTCT